AGGCAGAATTGAGACATCATGGTGAGGGAAGCTGGTCTTCTATCCTCAAAAGTTCTTTATCATAGTTACTGAGGGAAAAAAAAGAGAATTTCCACTTTTCTCACAAAAAATATCATTATAACATCTCACAATTTTGCTTTTTCTTCCTAGCCATTCTTCTAGCTCATATTTCCATCATTAATATTTGATCATAGCTTTAATCTCTTCCCTCTTCCCCATCATACTGTGTTATATACATAACAGACTAATGTTTCTACGGTATAGATCATATCACTATCTTAAAGTGCTTCAGTGTCTTTTTATGTTTAGGACAAAATTCACTTGTATCTATTTACTACTTTTATGTCATCTGACCTTTATAACATTTCTCTTTCATTATACCATCCCTTTATTTCACACAGACACTGCTGTCTTCTTTTAGATCCTAAACTATGACAAGATAATCCCTCTGATATATGTTACTCACACTGTTTTCTTTGCCTGGAACATTCTTTGCCCAACTATTCTTTATAAGCAGACTTGCTTATCAAAGGTCTCTATTGAATGATCACTCTACCAGAATAGGATTTCTTGGTAAATATATCTGAAGTGGCAACATAATCTCCATTACTCTCTTTCAAAACATGGTCACTACTTTCCACTACTTAAAAAAAGTGACATAAATTTTTAAATTGTGTATTTTTCTGTGAATCAAAATTTAAAATTTACGTCTCTCATTAGAATCTAAAGACCCTCTCATGAAATGAGTATTATCAACATTATTCACTATAAACTTGAGTCCTAGCTATCTGAGAAATAGCTAAGACAAATATATACAAGGCATGGATAAATACATATTTAAGAATAAATAAATGGTAACCCACTGATTTTTTTTAATTCTGTAATATTTATTTTTGACAAGAATATTATTTGAGAAGAATAAATTTATTATTGACAAGAAACTAGAACTAAAAGTCTAACAGAAACATAAATGCAAAAGGCTGGAATATAAAACAACATATCATTTAGACTGCTCAGAGGAGTTGGGAAGAGTGGATTATCCAAAGATCGTACCTGGCCATTCAACATCATTTATTTAGCCTAAAAGCCCTCAGTTGATTCTATACAGTTTTGCTCTCAAGAACACATTTACTATTGTTCTATATTTTGAGTCCTTTATCTTATAAAGCTTAATTAACAATTTCTATATCAATAACATCCAAATCAAGATAACCTAAGAAAGAAAATAATAATACTAAAAATGAAATTAAAAGATGTGTGCAGATTTAAATCCAAATATCAGGCATGAAGCTGTACACATTTTAGAGCTTACAATAAAGGGGAAGATTTTTTTTTTTACTTGATCACTAGCATATGACTTTTGTCTTGCCATAGTTTTTTTCTGGATCTATCAAAACATTTCTTGAAGATAAGACCCTATTATCCTTGCATTAATTGTGATATATTTCATGAAGTCTTTTATGTACCAGCTCACAAAAAAGTTAAGTAAATTATGATAAGTATCATTACCTAAATCACAATTTTTACTACCATTAACACTTTATTTTTATTTTTGTCCACTGAAGTTTGAACATCAGTTAAAATTATTCTATCAATGTTAAATAATAAACATCTCACTGTTACACCAAACTTAGTAACCAACTGTCTTTGATTTGACAAGTACCAACTTCTGGCAATAGAAGTACTTTCTCTGTGCTCTGTGCATTACTAATCTTGTCTTGTACTGCTGTGGCTAAAGTTGTAAATAAGATGGTCATTGTAAAACCAAAGATGCATTTGATCTCAGTCAAAGGCCTGGAAAATAATACCAAATAGAAGGAAGTTTCTAGTACTCTAATATGGTTCTTTCTCAGCTGCTTTAAGTATAGCTCTGCTCTGAGATAGAACTTAAAAGTCAACTGTTATACTTTTTGTCCCATTTGAAGTCCACAAATAACCCAAAACATGACAAAGTTAATGGCAAGTTAAGCAAGTAAATATTTTATTATATGGTATAAAATAAATAGACTATAATTATGCAGAATAATAATATATTGTATATATAATTTGTATTATTGATATTCTTCATCTATTTAAAGTAACAGGTTTTTATTGAAATATCTGAGTACTCATCATGCTGGCTATAATTAGGGTAGAAATCTTTGGAAACACAAAATATCAAATGACAGAAAACTAGAGATGTCCAGTTTCTAAGTGATTTTATTGCACAGAAGTATACTGATCAAGAGGCAAACATTAATATTAAATTTATTAATATTAATTATAATTTAATATTAATATTAACTCAAATTAATATTAATATTTAATTAACAATAATTTAATATTAATATAATTTATATAATAATAAAATTACTTAACTTTGTCTTCTTAGACTGTAAGCTAATTAAGGCCAAACTGTACTTTACACACCTATACATTAGGTAATCTAAAAAAATATGGTTTTAATGCTTTGTCTCATATATTCTAAGTTCTTTGTGAATATTCATTAGTTTATTTCTATATCCCTATTGGAAAACTACTTCATCCTAGTACATAACAGGGTCTCCCAGGAGAAGATTAGAAAAGCAACACTTAAATAGAGCTGAATAAGGTTTCCTTACCATTCTAACAGACTAAAGTAATGTTCCCCCAGCACTCAAGAACACTGTGTATCAAATAAGACGAAGTCTCTTGTGAAATGCCAAACTACTCTAAGCAAGAATTCAAATATGTCTATACAAAATAATCAAGATGCAAATTCAATCTCCATAATTAAGATGTAAGAAACTACACAACTTAATTCAGGATTCCTATTTTAATTATGTTCTTGGTTAATTTTACTTCCCAGCAAACATTCTCTCAGATATTTACCAGGAACTTTGTATGTGCATGATGCTGTACTGAGGACTGAGGATGTATGCAAGACAAAATACAGAAACCGTAACCTCCAGTTTCAGAAAATTAGTGTTTTGATTGAAATGATAAAACTCATGCATATAACAATAAGACAAAATTAGAAACCCTCAACAGCATATTTCTGAGAAAAGTACTAACCAAGTGAAGAAGTAGGAAATCTAGGTGAGGAAGAGGAAGACTTCAGAAAGCAGGTGGTATTTATATTGGAAATGTTGTGATAAGTACAGAGTGAATATGTACAGAGATAGCTCATTTCAGTTCAACACCAAGTTTCACTGGAACTTACAGGCTACCTAAGACTGCCGGAACAACTTATCACATATTAGTTTAAGGCAATGCAAGCTTCCTATATTATGGTTTGAGGTTTCAAAAGTCTCCACAGCTATCACTTAACTGAAATCAAGGTACAAACAGATGTGGGTTCCTTGTGGAAAACTCCTGTTTCTGTATCGTTCCCACCTTCCAGAGGCCATCTAGATCTCAACATCTTCATTCTATCCATCATCACTCTTTCTTCCTACTTAGTATTATCTCTCCCTTTCCTGTTTTTATTTAATGTAAGTGAGAGAGAAACCATTTGTTTTCCTTCAAATCTGCTCAATACTATATTAATGTAGAAAATGCCATTTTTACTTATAGGTGAATTAATAATATGAAGCGCAACTTAAGTAGATATAATACCTTTATCATACTTCATCTTAAGTGTGAAACAATATTTTTGTTTTAAAAATATGAAAACAATATAAGCCCACCGCTGTAGATAATATTCTAGCACTATGAACAGGCTGTATTACTTATAATTATTCACTTCTTATTAACAGCCTTCCAAGTTCATCATGTCTCTTAAATCAAGTTTAACAATAATCCATAATCCAAATGTGGCATTTGCATCATGTTCAGAACTGAGAAATGCAGAAAACAATTTTGCATATTGTAAATATATCTGCACACATACCTCTCATGTTGTACTGAACTATTTCTCTTGCCATGTTTTCTTTTTTTAATTTTTATTGATTCTTAGTTTCACATCATGTACCCCTGCCCCCTCAAACCCACCCTTCATTGTTACAACCTCCCTCCACAAAAAAAAAAAAATAAACACACACGTATAGAAACATAGAAAACATCTCATCGTGGAAGCTGTAGTATGTTACAGTGTGCCCTTCAATATATCCCTCTGTCCACACATCTTTACTTGCAAATGCTCGTTGCAATGAGTCGTTAGTCTGGTTCGAGGTCTCTGACTTTGGTGATACCATCAATACTAGATCCTCAGTAGGACTCCTCCTGGTTATCCTGTTGTTGCCTTGTATCATAGAGATCCTGCCACTTTAGATCAGCAGGACTGATCCTTCCACATGTCCCAGCCAATGGCAGATGATATAGATTTTGGGGTGGGTCAACTCAGAGCCCAGCATCTGGGACAGGGTGGCAGCTGAGCTGGTCAGTGCACCAGCTTTCCCTTACCTGCACTACCACGGTGAGCTTTCCAGCACTGCTCTGGGTAGACTAACCAGGGTCAATTCTCCTGCTCTTGTGCTCTTGGGGCCTGCTCACGTGCACCCCTGCCGCCAGAGCTAGATCTATATTGCTGCCTGGGAAAGGCACAGGGCCTATTCTCCCAAGTGCTACTATCCCTGAGAGGTGGTACCAGTTCTCCAGAGCACTACAGCAGAGAGGGGCAGAACCAGATCTGTACAGACCCTGGGCTTCCAAGTAGTCCCCAACAACTGCCCTAACAAGGGACTTCCACATGTTCTCTAATGTCCACCACATGCGTGCACATTACAGCGGCTCCCACTGCATACACTGGGGGACCTTTAGGCAACAGATTTGATGGCAAACCAGTGTCTACAGCCTGCCTGTACACTGCACTAGTGGACAGGTCTGTGGGTGGCATGGTGGTCCGGAAGTCTCTGTCTTCCTCCTCCCTCGCTGCTCTGCATGGTGATCAGCCAGGTTCTGTTTGTCTACGACCGCCCTATGCAGTGGGGCAGAAGGTCAGTCTGTGGGGCATCTTTCTCTGCTAGCACTGTGCATGGCATTGCAAAACTCTGTCTTTCTCCTCCTGTGCTATGCTGTCTGTATTTTATTTGATTTGATTTTTCTGTGTCCTAGACATAGGACAGCTCTGGACACCAGGCCAGGTATGAAGCTAGGATGAACAAAGGACTGTTGTCTGCTCTGCCCCTGACTGATATAAGAACAATGCCAAGAACACGGTGTCTCTTTACCCATTCTCAGGTGGTTTTCCTTCCTTTTATAACTATATTTGTGATTATCTCAGGTCCACACAAATAACTCAGGACAATAAAATCCTGTATAATTTATCCAATTTAAGGTCCTTAAACTGCAACATCAAAGCTCTCTCTGTCACATAAGGTAAAGTGCTCACAGGTTCTTGCGACTAGGATGAGCATACTGGAGAGATATAGAAGGTTCAGTCTACTTCAGCTATTAAAGTCAATATTGCTTATTAATTTTCACATTTTAAGTCATTCACATTTATAGCCATAAATAGGTTTATAGTCTGTATTTGTTCCTTAAAATTTGGAATTTGGATATTATTATTGTGGTGCCATACATTTCAACCGACTTCCATTTTTTCTGAGTCTTAAAATTGCCTATCTATACAGTGTGACGGGTGCTGTGATTACAGCAAAAATCCAGAAAAAGCTAAGCCTGAGGTAGAGAGACACAAAATGGGTGTATAATGTAAAAAATTACCCCCAATGTAGCATAAAACAAAAATATGAAGACATGGGATGATAAAAGATTCAGCTACAGGACCAGATGTGCTTGAGAAACTCCTCCCCCTCCCTGCAAAAAACCCAACATGCCTTTATTGTCCTAGAATTTCTTACCCTGACTTGCTCTTTAACCATTGGTATTTCTGACAATGTGGACACTCATCAGAGTCATCAGAAGAGTAGCTTACATATGCAGCTTGTCACTCCCCAGCTCAGCATTAGTTTTTATAATCTCAGTTCATTAGGAAGTAAAATCTGACATTGCAAATGCTAGCAAAGTTTACAGGTAGTTTGTATAGAAAACTTAGAAGTCATGGACTAAGGCTTCTCTTTGGCCTGAGCTCCCACTTTATAACCTACTCTAGGTAAAAGGAAGTAAAAATGTATATCTCCACATTGGTTGAATTTGAAAGCAAGTAGTTTTGTGAGATATCTATTCCATTTCTTTTAGCTGTAAAAATATTCATCGAAATATATTTTATTGTTTTGTTCATTTTTTTCTTTTTTTTCTCAAAGCACTAAAGCCCCAGTGATAGAGTCACCATGGTCAGAGTGAGTCCTATTACATACAGAAAATAGGACCCCTCTACACTTGATTTTGAATAATAGCTTTAATGAATTCACAATTTGTCCATAGAAATGATAGAACAAGTGCTTATTTGAATTATTCTTCAAATATGTTTTTTAAAGGAAGCAAGGCCATTTAATGGATGAATTTGCACTAGATATGTCTAACAGTGAAAAAAATCTTTGGGGGGATTACTGGACACTGACTTTCAGTTTATAATAATCCCTCAGGAGCCATCAGTTAGAGGAGGGTCATGTAGCCTTTAAATAATAAGTGAACTATTGACTTGAGCCAGCATGATGGTTCATTTAATGAAACTTTAATACTTGAGTTTAGCTCTCAAGTTCCTGAGTTAAATAGATATCTTTAATAGTAGGCAAGAGTTGGATGTATCTATGCAATAAAAGATCTATTTTGACGGAAGGTCAAATTTCGATTTAAATGTCTTATTTTACTGTTTGCTGATCAGAGCAGCAAAGCTCAAGCAGAAGAGTCACAATGGTCATAAAGGGATACATAACATGGAGAGTATAGGTCATCTCTGATCAGAAAGGATGGGTTACACATAAGTGGAAACAAATATAATATGAAAAATATGCTTTACAAAAGGCTTTAATTCTTCCATTGTTCTTCGGTTTTTAGTATTCTGCTTTTCTTTTCTTTCTTTTTTTCCTTTTGTCAATAAGTATTCAGTTTTTAGAATTCTTAGATTTTACAGACAGAATGGTATATGTGATATTCTGCTCTGGGCTTGGAGAAATAAATAATACACATTTCCTGTTATTAAGCCAGTCACCATCTAGCAGTGGTGAAATGCATGAAAGGAGATAATATAGGAAATAGGTATATTATTAAAAGCAGGATCACTAATCATTCTCCCTGACCCACCTGAAACAAAAGCACCAGGAAACTTTGTGACCTAAACCTTTCTTGTACTTCGAGAATTCTATGTGAAGGGTCAGAAATTTAAGTATATTCCAGGCAGAAAAGACAGAAATGCATGAACACAATGCATTTCTAGGAACCATAGATATGTTGGTAGCCAAACTCTACTCAACTAACTAATAGCAGATTATATTATATAATTTGGGGAATATTTGATAAAAGAGACACAGATATGTAAAGATGAATTTCAAACAATCAACAGTAGTCTGGAGCAAATAATATTTTGTTACTTACTATAAGCTTTAGGGAAGAAGGCTCCATGAGAGTTCCAACAGAGTACAAGAACACAACAAATCTGCAGCTACCTATGCAGGGAGGAAGCCCAAAATAATTATCCTAACCACACTTTGAAGTTCTCTCCAATCTGTTGATGTGAACCTTTGACGAAATGAGACCACAGGGCCAGAGGGTATTCCAAAAGATACAAAGAAGGAAAAACACATAGAAAGTACATGTGTATGAAGAAATGGAAATGTATAGCACATGTTCAGTGGTGCAATGTTTTATCTTCATTTTGTAGTTATTGCTGAACGAAAGTCATAAGAAAGTTATGGAAAATGGCAAACTGATTTCTGATTTAGACATGCCATGGGGTAACAGGATAGGGGAAACATTTAATAGATAATTCCAGTCTATAACACTGATGAATAATTAACTGAATACATGACTAAGCTCTTTGCTTGAACACCTTTATCCTGTAAGGTATCCAGAATCATACTTTGAGAATTAAATGTATGTAAAGTTGTAGCATATAGGTGAGCTCAGAGATAAGATAGAGACCTGAAGAAATGATATTCCCTTCGTGTGTGACTCTCTAAAGGTGATATTAAAGAAGAGTTTCTGGTTAGTGGTTAGACTCTGAGAGCCACAAGGGTCCAAGTTAGTTTATTCTGTTAGTCTTCCTGTGAGGTTTATATCCCCTTTGGGACCCTAAATCCTTCCCCTATTCTTCCATAAGAGTTCCCAAGATCTATCCACTGTTTGACTGTGGGTGTCTGCATCTGAGTCAGATTCTGAGTGGAGCTTCTCAGAGGACAGCTATCCTATCTTCAACAATAACAGCATATCATTAATAGTGTTAGGGACTGGTGTTTATCCACGGGATGGGTCTCAAGTTGTCTGGTTATTACACGAGCTAAATTACATGAAGCTTGGTCTTCATGTGGGTCCCAAACAACAGGAAGGGGGCTATTCCAAAAGCTGCACCTGTGCACAGGATATGTTTTTCCACCTGGGCTGTCATGTCTAGCCTCAATGGGAGAGAAAGTGCCTAGCCTCACAGAGACTTGAAGTGCCAAGGAGGGGAGATAGTGAGAGGGGCATCGACTCAAAGGAGAAGAGAAGGGTGAATGAGAGAAGGACTATGGGAGGGGGTGACTGAGGGGGACAGTCAGCAGAATGTAAAGTGATTAAATAAAAAAAATAAAAATTATTTAAAAAACCAAAAAAATAATTTATGAATCATGAAAAGAGAGATTAAAATTAATATCAATAACCTTTGACTTCAGATGAAAAGCATATACCTCTTCACCACTAAATGTGATGTTAACTGTTTAAAAAATATGAAGAGTCTCAGCATATAATATTGCTTCTTGGAGATATATTTTCTCTTCTTTAGAAGTAGCAGACTAGTCAGCCCAATCTTACATGGACTAAATTGTACATGTGTTACAATTCAGGCATTTTTGGTCAATATTGATTTGAACACAGAATACATTCCAAAGATTCTTGATAAGTTAACTCCTAAGGGAACATTTTTCATAAAGCAGTCCACTGACTGTTTATTCTATACATATTTACTGACTAAGTACTATATTGATTGTTAAAATAAATGGAGAACAATTTTATAGGATCCCTTCCTGGTGTGTAACTAAAAAACTAGAGGGTAAAAAGTATAAGTCAATGAACAAATATAGAATATTTTAAATACAAGAAAATATCTTCATGTAGTAAATAATTAAGAGAGCTAGATTAGAATGATCAATCAACATTTGGTCTCAACAATCCAGTATCCACAAATGTTTCTAATATTTTGCTGTCACTGCTAAAAGCACTTCCTTTGTGGGTATACAGGATATAAATAGAGCTGCATCTATCTAGGACAGAAATGCACTGAAAGTAGTTTTTAAACATAAATTCCTTGGAATAATGTAATTATGAAACTTTTCTACATGATTCTTCATGTTCTAGAAATCCAAAGGAACTAAACAATACCATCTGTATTAGGACCCTCTTCCATTTAATTACACCTACATGGGTAGAGTATTGCACCCAAACTTTGACTCCTAGAGATACCATTGATCTTTCCAAATTGTATAAGGATGGGGCTTCTATCAATCAGAGTGTGGGTTTTATGATCATGTTAGTACTTTTTTAAAACACACACATAAATTGTCTCATGGGGCTTCCAAATATTTTAGAAAAACAAAGCAGGCTGAATTTGGAAGATCAACTTTAAATGAAATACAGAATATGAATATATTTCTTAAATGTGCATGAGGACCTGTTAAACAATGTAAAGACATATTAAGGAAAACTTAGTTCCCAAATCTCAGGCACTAACGTAGGAGGTTTTCAATAAAGAACAATATCACAACTTTTGTTCCACTATAACCTTGACAGATTGTTGCTGGCAGCTATTCAGTATCAGGTCAATCATAACTCGGAGGCATGTTTTAATTCTCTTTTTAGTGAGATGGAATGAAAATAAGAGCACCTGAATCTTGGAAACCAGTCACAACTGAAAGTTCTGACTCCAACTGTAGCCCTCTATCACTCAAGGCTGCGGACATTTCTAACTTAACAACATGCTAACATCAGATTCAAATAAAATATTATACATTCATCAGACTTTGGGACTATGAGCCATAAAATGAAATAGTTAACCCTAAATTCTTAACCTCTCATTCAATTGCTTCAAGCAACTCTATACATGGCTTCATATACATTTTTAACGTTACAGTTGGTAAATAGAGGCCACACAAAGG